CTCAACCCAGACTTACCACACAAGACCCAAGCATAAAACTACATTGTCTAAGGCTCATAAGCCGCTGAGTACTCTCTTAAATGTTTCCAAAAGCACCACATTCAAAATACATACCCCGAAGGGACTTCCTGCGAATCTAGAACCATTACCTTCCTAATACTAATATATAAAATCCCATAGTTAATGTAGAAAGTACCACAAGTCTTGACATCTTCCAAATGAAAACTCAGTTCCTAACCACATATATGACTTTTAAATACCCAATTGTTACATGTAGAATCTTGAACACATTAGAACCATTCTCGAGAGTCATTCACTCTATTCAAACTGCAATTAGTCTGATCAAATAAACCGAACATCTCGTGCCTCATTGGCACTCCGACACCGCAGAATGTAACCTCATCCCGATACAACCAAGCAACTTCCTGCTCTATGCACCAAGCATTCTTGCCAATAACAACTCAAGACATCCTGTGATTCTCACACACCTATGAAACATCTTACAACCTTTGTTAAAAAGATTTCCTTTACTCGAGCCATCCTCGATCTCAATTTCTGCAAGCCATAACTGATTCACCAGCACGCCTCAAACTGGAATCAACATAGCACATAACCATACAATCAACTAATCAACAGCAGACTCCCTCACTTAGCTCGAAGCCATAGATCATCACACACCCAATAACTCATAACGCATATACTCTTTTGCTGCCGTAATACCATAGTGAGATTAAACTCAAATCCCTTTGTAAGCTTGTGAAAACATAAACCATCTAGTACTTTAAATCTTTAGCAAATCTCGCATTCACTCTCGCAACAGTTAAACCCACTCTCTTAAGCGACCCAATTTAAATTTGCAACACATATCTTTCACTTGCCAATGAGATCTCCTAACAGACCCATAAGGATCGCACAACCTCAGAACACTTCGTAGGAGATAACCCACCTGCTTTGCCTCCAACTAACATTCATGTATACCTTCCACCGTCATAAACTGTACGCAGTAAGTTAATCTTCCTGAGTCTGAATTCATACCGCAACATGAAATTTACTTCACTCTCAACTGGGAAACATGAAAAGATCCTTCCCATGCCCATAACTCGGGGCTATACCTCGAATCGAGATAGAATTCAAGCACCTAATAGTTCTTCTATCCTCCCGCAGAACTTTCTCATTGCTTCGAAATCATATGGATACATCTTGTAGTACCAACATACTCATCACATAGTTATTCAGTCATCACATCCACTAATAGGGACAATACCGCGTATATAAGTTCAAAAACACTTGCTCACACAATCACCACCTCGGTGCTCAAGCTATAGGCAAAAATCCGGCCTCAAGTCCTCCAGACTGGCCCAATATCAACTCACGAGATAACATCTCGCCCCTCGATCGGGGAATTACAAGCCATTGATGCACATTTGATACTGAGCGCTCATGTGCGCATACAAATGCGTGGAAAGAGTTTCAAAAGTTTACTTTTCAAGCTGAATCAAGGACGCAAGATAAGAATTCAAGAATGTGAAGTTCTTCCTAAAGGTTCTGTAGCCTCTCGAGGATAAATACAGACGTCTATGTACCGATCCGCGAGACTCTACTAAACCTGTTCATGACTCGTGAGACCTATGTAACCTAGGCTCTAATACCAACTTGTCACAACCCTAACCCCGAACCCCGTCGTGATGGTGCCTCTCATGAAGACAAGGCCAACTAATTAAACCCAATTCACTTTTTAAAATAGTTAAACAAATATAAAAGCAGTCTAATCATGAATTAATGATAAGGAGTAGCAGATATACAACCCAACACAACCATAACCAGGGTGTCACAAGTCACGAGCATCTATTAGGGTATAAATACAACTGAAAGCCTGAGGTGTACAATTACAGTCTACTGAAATGAAGAGAGAGAAAAGCAGTGTTGCGAACGCCGGCAGCTACCTTGCTAAACTCTAATGACTCTGCCTCCGATCAGCCAAAACCTGCTACCGGGTGTATAAATATCTGAATATGCACACAAGGTGCAGGGAGTAAAGTGAGTACTCCAACTCAGTGAGTAACAAATGTAAATAAAGACTAAAGGCAAGAAATCACGTAAAGCATACCAAGATGCTGTATAGAAGCAGTTCAAAACTAGTAAGAAAGCAGTGAAGCTGTAAAAATCTCTTACAATATCTTACCTCAGTCTAAACTTCTTTGAAAATGGATTTTTCAACGGTTATGCAAATGAATGCAAAATAGTTAGTGCAGAGAAGCGCAGAAATTCACCCCTCGGGCACAAATACCATAGTTTAACAGGTAAAATGACAAGTAAATATGAAAGATAAATAAATAAAGGTTCGCCCCACAGGCACAATATCAACAACTTTTCCCCTCGGGCAATATCTCAGAACAATACCAGCCCCCCGGGCAATTACATAGAACGGTACCAGCCCCTCGGGCAATCACATAGAACAATAACAACACCTCGGGCTATCACATAGAACAATATCAGTCCCCCGGGCTATCTCTCACATCACAATGGGTACCCGTGCTCACTGGGGGTGTACAGACTCCGGGAGGGGCCCCTTATGGCCCAAGTGCAATATCAAGCCATCTCGTGGCATCAAATCTAGGCCCTCGGCCTCATATCAGTCAAGCCACCTCGTGGCGTATATATCTCAGGCTCTCGGCCTCATAAACAATATCAACAAGCCACCTCGTGTCGTACATATCTCAGGCCCTCGGCCTCAATCAGTATCAGTGTTTCCTCACAACTAGGCCCTCGGCCTTACTCAGTCAAAAATACTCACAAGCCCCTCGGGCAATAGTAAAATAGTATTTCTCAGCCCAAAACATCATTTAAAATATCATTTAAGTCTCAAAATTGAGTAAAATTGGTTGAGTAGTAAAACAATGGAAAATAATGGGACTGAGTTCAAGTAATAAGTCAAACAGTGAGGAAATGGTAATAAAAATCCCCGAAGAGTTCAAATAGTTGGCACAAAGCCCAAATATGGCAATCAGCCGAAAGCATGATGAAAGAAAATAGGTTTCAGTCAAATACGCAGTAAAATCATCAATCGGGACGGACCAAGTCACAATTCCCAATAGTGCATGACCCCACGCTCGTCATCAAACGTGTGCCTCACCTCAATATAGCACTACGATGTGCAATCCGGGGTTTCAAACCCTCAGAACATCATTTACAGTCATTACTCACCTCGAACCGGCTAAATCTCTAGCTCAAGACGCCTTTGCCCCTCAAATCGGCCTCCACACGCGTCGAATCTATCCAAAACTAGAACGTGGACGTCAAAATATGCTAAGGGGACAAAGCCCAAGCGAAAACAATCAAAATATGACACAATTCCTGAAATTACCAAAAATCGAGCCTCGGGCCCACGTATCGAAATCGGGTAAAATTTACATTTTCAGAATCCTCATACCCTCACAAGTCTAACCATACCAAAATTATCCAATTCTGGTACCATTTGGTCCTTCAAATTATCATTTTATATTTTTGGAAGATTTCACAAATTTTCTTCCCAAATTCTATCCCAAATCACGAATTAAATTATGAATTCAATGATAGATTCATGTACTCTAGCCAAATCGAGTTAGAATCACTTACCTCGATAAATTTCTTGAAAATCCTTCGAAAAATCGCCAAAATCCGAGCTATCTAGGTCAAAATATCAAATAAAACCCAAAACCTCGTATTTATAGAGTACCTCACGGATTTCCACATCTGCGGACCGCACAAAAACGACCGCGGTCCGCACAAAACCAGTGCGGTCCGCACAAAACCAGTGCGGTCCGCACAAAAACGACTGCAGCCGCACAGGTTTTCTTCTGCAGTGACAGGCTTTAGTATTTTGGCCATAACTTTCGCTACAAATGTCCAAATGTCTATTATAATATGTTGCTAAAAACTAGATTCAAAGATCTACAATTTTTGTTTGATTCATCTCAAAATTCCTTGTAGATAAAAAGATATGAGCTTCCGAAGTAGGACCATTGAAATGTTCCCCATTGCGGCCGCACTACATTTTGTGCGGTTCGCACAGTACCTATCGCGGACGCACTTCTTTTTGTGCGGTTCGCACAACACATACCACTGACACACTTCATTTTGTGCGGACCGCACGAGTGGGTTTCGAGGCCTGCAACCCTTCTGGACCAGCTACAGCTATGATTTTCGGCCTAAAACATTCCGGAACATACCTGGAACTCCCGGAACTTCAAACCAATTGTACCAACACATCCCATGACATCGTTCAAACTTGTTCAAACTTCGGAACGCTTACAACAATATCAAATCACCAATTTAACATAAGATTCAAGCGTAAGAACTCCAAGAACTCTTAAATTCTGCTTTCGATCAAAAAGTTTATCAAATCTCGTCCGAATGACCTAAAGTTTTGCACACACATCCCAAATGACACAACGAAGCTACTGCAACTCTCGGAATTTCATTCCGACCTCTATATAAAAATCTCACCTATCAACCGAAAAACGCCGAAATCTTAATTTCGCCTATTCAAGCCTAAACCTTCCATTGACTTCCAACATGCATTCTGATCATGCTCCTATGTCCCAAATCACCTAACGGAGCTAACCAAACTATAAAAATTCCAATCCAAGATCAAATACAAACAAGTCAAATCTTGGTCAAACCTTTCAAATTTTAAGCTTTCAACTGAGACTGTTCTTCCAAATTCATTCTGATTAACCTGAAACTCAACACCAACGATTTACATAAGTCATAATACACCACACGAGGCAAGTCATGCTCGAGAACTGGCGAGCAAAGTGCAAAAGTTCAAAATGATCGATTGGGTCTTTACAATATCACATCATACGCCGGGTTGGCCGCTACAACCTAAAAGAGGCAGCTCGAACCTAAAAGAACAGACACGTTGACGGAGAGGTGCATGTGTTCCCTCTTCTAATAAGTAGGAATATAGATTACATTTACTTCTAATAAAGCTTGCAAAGAATATTTTTTTACCCACGATGGACAGAATAACAAAGTTGCCTGAGCACATCATATATCACATCATATGTCGGGTTGGCCGTTACAACCTAAAAGAGGCAGCTCGAACTTGTGTCTTGTCCAAGACATGGAATTGCCTTTGGACTTTGAGACCTGACCTGATGTTCAATCAGTGCAGCCACAACAGTTTCAGGTCGTTGGAGAAATTTGTCAAATTCGTCGACGATTCCCTTGAGCCTTATGTCAAGGAAAACCTAAGCATCAATTCATTCATCCTTCGACAGCTTCGTCATCCAGAATTGGCTTGGCATTTAGATCGATGGATGAACGTGGCAATTAAACATAATGTCAGAGAGCTTGAAATTAACTCAGGGGCGCTCTACTATAACGTTCCTGATACTATTTATGCAGGTAAAACGCTGACTAAATTGTCGCTATGGAGGTGCAATTTTGAAATTGATAATAGCACCAATAAATTGCAAAGATTAATTAGTACATGCCCTTTCATCAGGGATCTAAAATTAGATTGCTGCAGGGGAATACGAAATCTGCATGTTTTTGGCCTAGTAAATCTAGAAAATTTAGAGCTATCGGAGTGTGAAGGACTTGAAAAACTGCAAATCTAGGCTCCAAATCTTCGAAAATTTGCACATGTAGGGGTGCCTTTGTACAAGCAACAGAAGAAACGTGAAGTGGAACTGCTGCCTTGCAAAATTGATATTATAGATGGTTATAAGACACTCGAAATTCTCAGCTTGGAAGCTAGCATCATGACGGATCAACAGTTTGAACATCAATGCTCTAAGTTGTCATCCCTTAAGGAATTGGAATTAAGGAGATATTATTGTTTAACCAAAAATAGGGATTTCGGTCAAAGCTTATGCTAGAAGAACTCGAGTTACTGATAATCAAATAGAAATAAGAATAATTGAGAAATGATAGTTGAACGCAAAGTAAATCAATGTTTTCCAATAGTATTTCTTGTCCTTACAAATGATCAATCTTCTTCTTTTATAGCTATTTCTAGGTAATACGTTTTGTTTTTACCATAATAGTGTCATTATTGATATTTAATGGCATTTATTGTAGCGTTACAATCAGTAATCATATTTAATTTAATACAGATTCCTTAACGTTTTCCGTATTTAGTGCACAGTAGTACGTATCTATACCTTATTTACTATCAGATTCATTCCCTTCCATCATAAAGAAGTTCGAGCGTCTATCTCTCTTGCTTTTTCCTGAAAATCTACTCATGTCTGTTGAAGCTCGTGTCTCTTTGATTATTCTTGTTACCTATCCTCCTTTGACTGGTCCACGTGTCATGACGTGTCATCTTATAATAAATTTCATATATAAACTTAATTTTTCCCAATACAGTTATACTATGAAAAATATAGTGATTGCGAGTGAAAAGCTCAAGAAATTCAGTTTATTACATTGGATGAATTTGGACAAATCAAAATGCTCACTCCAAATCTGATGGAATTCAGTTTTGTGGGTTGCAACACGCCATTCTCAACTATGAATCCTTATAGCCTGAAAGAGGCCGATCTGATTTTCAACTCTATCTATATCTTACTTTGGAGATGTAGATACATTTTGGTATAATAATCTTCAGGATTTCGTTAAGAAATTCAACTATTCTAAGGGTCTCATATTAGTTATCCATTGTGAGAAGGTAATTTTTCTTTCCATGACTATATTTTTCACCACTATTGTTACATCATATATAATATCTGTTTTGTGTTTCTGCAGAATAAAAGCATCCTTATTTATGAAGATGCACGAGAAATTCTGGTTCCGCCAACTCGAGAACTCCAACTACTTATTACTCCTATGAAAACTCCGACACATCTTGAATTGCTCGTAGATGATCTGATGTCCTGGGATCCCAACATAATATCCGTAGTACCAAAGCAAAATACTCGAGGTATAAGTATATATGTTATAGCCTAGCAGCTAGAACATGTTATATTTCATAATCCATGAGTTTATTCAATATATCTAATTAGTTTTTTTTTGGAATAATAACAGGCGTTGCGGCAGAATGTAACAGGAAACATAGAGAAGGAAAATGGTGAACCTAACAAAGTCAGAATTTTTAAGGGCACGGCTGCTGAGGAAGGGACCTCCAATTTGTATACTTGGCTGAAATCCACGTCGCTAATTGAGAAAATTACCACTTTTATGTTCAAATAAGACGAAAATGCTTCGCCTAACAGAACTCTAATTATCTTTCTTTTACATAGTAAAACTTAGGTAACATGCGTTCGAAGTTTTTTCTTTTTTTACTTTGCTCTGAACTTGTTTGTTACATATGAAGTAAAATTTACCTTTCCGTATGCTTTTATGAAATTTAGAGCATGTTCGTGCGAGAAGTCGATGAAAGTAATCAGCTTTTATTTATAACTTAATTTAAATTTACGTAGTTAACTGCATAAACTTAAATTTAGGTCCTTTTCTTTTCTTAATAAATTTTAAGAAATTCATCTCAGAACCCCTCTTTTATGTATTTTGGTGATCATTGATTGATCTTATTAATTTGCCACCAACTAGGATACATGTTTTGCAACAGAACAGAGAGAAGTTAGTATTATATTGTCTTATTTTTTTGAGTTTCAGGTACCATAAATATTGCTTGACATTGAAATTCTTGTATAATATCAGTGTTCTTTCTCATATTTCCTCTGTTAAATAGAACAATCTTTTTGTTCTGTATGGTTTCAATTATCAGAAAAATCAGGCCACCTTTCATAAAGGGATAAAATCCTCTTTCCATTAGTTTCAAGCAAAACACAATAGATCCAGCTTCCAACCAGAGGCGGATGCAATGTATTTGCACCAGGTTTAACTGAACCAATACTTTTGACGCGGAGGTAGATTTATATGTAAAAATTCATTAATATTGCAATATATATGAACACATAACTTTAAAAAGACAATTGGGTCAATGCTAAAAACCTTAAAGATTAAATTCACAAAACTTAAATCCTAGATCCATCTCTGCTTCCGATGTAATCACAATTGATGTACGTGGTCAACTTTTTCAAACCACAAAATAGTTGCAACCAAAAAACCTACAACACTGCATTAAACGAGCAAATTAAACAAACCATTCAACATCTGTACACGGTGCAAGTTATTTTTCCTAGACACAGGGGATTAAAACATGTTCTTGCTTGGTGAATCATAAACTTTCCCTTTGTGTAATCCACCTTAGGCTTATTGCCATACATATCAAGCTTTCCCTTGAACTTTGTTGTTCACGTCCTACATGAAAACATCATTGACGGTTAAAAAAAGGCAAAATACATAGTTTACCCATTAATCTTACACCCAAATCCCTGTTACACACCTTTCGACCACGGGCAATCTTTTACACACCCAACCTTTTAAAAATATATCTAATACACACTACTTTTTGACCGATAGCATAGGCGTGTCTAACAAACAAAGTAAGCGCGTAAAACCTCTAAATTTCAGTCCAGATCTTTAATTAAATGCCATGTATCACAATTTTTAACACATGGCACTAGTGGGTCCCATAATTCTATTCATTTCTTATTTTTCTAGAAAAATTTCTTCTTCTTCTTTTCATCTTCATTTTTGTCCGACTGTTAATCAAGTGCAAGTTCTCTTTCTCTCTCATTTCTTCTCCAAAGCATGATCTGACCTTTGTGCCTTATCGTACTCATTTAAGGTTTTATGGTATTTTCTGTTATATTTTTTATTTTTCACGGCGGTCGATTAAAAGGGACGGTAGCTATGGAGTTTTGGGGTTTTCAGGTGAAGTAATTTTGGGGTCTCGTTCTATGGTAATTTTCACGGTTCGGTTAATTAGTTTTACTTTGGAGTCTGTTTCTATGGTACTTTCTGTTGTTTTAGGCGGATTTCTTTAAATGACCTTCCGCCGAACTGTTCTTCAAAAAATCAAGACTAGGAAATCACCTTCTAGTTTTGGCACTTCAATCTTCAAATTACCTTTGTGTGAAGGAAAATTTAATAGTGTTGGTGAACCCACTTCTTAATTTGCCTTTTATTTTCCTTCCCTAAATCATCTTCCGGCGAACTCAAATCTCGACACAGAATTAAAGCAAATTCTGAAGTGGGCTTTTGGTCTTAAGTTATAATATAGCTTGATATTATCTCAAGATTTCTGATTCTTCGCGCTGTCGACGGCAACGGATAATTAGTCAGAGAACAAAAAGAGATCAAAGGGAGAAAATGGTTAAGGGGTATAGTTGTAAGTTTAAGTGTTTTATTTTTTAAATAAAAAATAGTAACACGTGTCACTATCTGATTGGAGCATGAAATTACTCATGTTTTGAAAAATTGGTCAAGAAAAAAGTAATGTGTATTTGACACACTTTTAAAAGGTTGGGTGTGTAAAAGGTTGCCCGTGGTCAAGAGGTGTGTAACATAGATTTGGGTGCAAGGTTAATGAGTAAACTATGTATTTTTCCTTAAAAAAAGGACATTAGTTAGTGGAATAGGAAGTTATGAAATTGGAGGAGGAACTAACAGTAGCTAGCTTCCAGCTGCCGTTGAACTCGTATCCTTCAGGAGTCATCTCATCGCATTCGAAGAGCATCAGTGGAGCACAAGCTCCGCTCGCTGAATACTCTGCTGTGAACGGCCTCCCATATCCGGGAATCAATGTCACAGTCCCATATTTCTTGCACCCTTCGTACTGAATATGAGAAACTAATTAGAGAGATGAGAAACAAAGTTGGATCTAAAGAAGGATAAAATTAGGAGTTCTTTTTTTTTACTTTTATGACATGGTTGACTGTGTCACGCCCGTTGTACTCACTGTCATTCATATAGATACACGGTCTTTTTGACAATTCATCACAGTTTTGGCATTTCAGCTGAAACAAAAACAAAGAATGTAGAAACTAAAGTATTTTCTCAACTTGACCTTCACATAAACAAAATGAAATTCTAAGGAACTTATAAATCCAACCTGAAAAAAGTATGGCATGTGATCATCTGCTCCACCGTTGAGAACGATGGTGGCAATGTGGCTCAACCTATAGTTGATTTCTAGTAGAAATATCATCTTTGCCTTTCTGAAGCTAGTTATGAAGAACATTGGAGTTTTTGTTTCGAGGGAGGAGAAGCAATGCTTGCACATTTATGTAGGAGTAAGCATGTGGGGCAAAACGTGAGGAGGTTGTGGGTGTACGTAGAATTGGTAAGTAATCCGAGTTTGTAAACTTTATTAAAGATTTCAGCCTAAAGAAATAGGCATAATCGAAATATTGGCTCCGTTAAAATAATTCAATTATGTCATATTTCTTCAAGCTGAAAATTTTACTAAAGTTTGTGGTGATACATCATATATATCCAAGACAAATCTGATATTGGATAATTGTATATAGGGACTAGGGAGAAAATAATATGGAGAGAGGGTGTGGAGGTATTACTACTATATAGAATTACTACTGTATGCTGCTTGGCCTCACGAGGGTATTATGGTCATTGTCAATTGATTAGTATGGTTGGTCAAAAAAGATTCTTACTGTAGCTACTATATCAATTTTTGAGTGCCTTGACTAAATTGCCCTTTTCTTATGTCTTTTTTTTATTTCTCACTCGGTATTCGGTACTCGCATTGGAGCCCAACTATATCCGGATTCGCGCCGCATAGGGCCCCATTCGGGGGAAGCGTTCTCTACCAAGAATTTTTCCATACTCAAGGCTCGAACTCGAAATCTCTAATTAAAAGAAGAACAGTTTCATCAACTGCACTACATTCTTTGATGGTACTTCTCTTATGTCATTGTTCATCACTCTTAAGATATGCATAGCTTTGGAATAAACGTGGCCCATCTGACTATTTATTCAATATGCTTGCTATTATTTCAATGGTTGATTCTTCCATGCCTGTTGTACTATGTATTACTATTTCCAAGACCCTATTTCCATGTGTTACCTTCCCTTGACCAGATATTTCAATTCAACTATCTCTTTAATATGGAGTAATTTATACACAGACAGAGCTTCCCCATGAAATTCTTGAAGAACGTGTTTTCACTTCTTTGCTTCTTCTTTTTTTCATTTGTACAAAAATTTAACATTAACATTTTTTAATTTAAAATTAAAATCTAACTAACAACAAAACATGATTCACACAGAGGTATTATTATTTGATGTTCTAAAAGACCTAATATGAGTTAAAATTAATATTCTTGGTATTAAACATTTAATAGAATAGTACTTTTAAATCGTATAATTATTTTCTAACCAAAAGCAATAAATTATAAATCAATAATCATGATATAATACACATTGCCCGACGAAAATGCTAGGAGGCAAATTATGTCATCTTAAAAGTGTGTAAACTTTTTGTCTTAATTTTCTGTTTGATAATATAAATTATCTCATTTCATCCCAAAATTAATGTTTTATGATTATATTTGGTGCAAAGTTCATAATATTATTGCAGGTATTGCCTTTTCTTGCATGACAGATTATATCGATAGTATCGGCATAATACTTCTAATTAATTTGTACTCCAAAGATTTTTTAATAAAATAGGAGCGAGTTGACTATAACAAAAAACTTTAAGAACATTTAAATTATACTAATATAAATATTTAAATTATGCTAATAACTTCATAAAAATAGAGAAAAACTTCAAGAAGCTTCATAGAAGAGTTAACCTAACAATAAAGATTTAATAGGGATCTAGAAGGCACTTTTGTAGTTATACAACTTTTAGAAAAAGGAATAAAATAATTAAAATCTATACCTTCGCCCAAGGAATTAAAGAAGATGAATTTCCGCTAAAATTTAGTGCCTCAAACAAATATAAGGGAGCAATATTAAGAAGACAAAGCAATAAAAAATACTTAAATGTATATCTAGGTATTTCGATGATTATAATTAAATTATAAAGTTAATAGAAGGAAATTATTACTTTATTAAAAATATGAAACAGAAATTAGATAATATGACCGTCATATGTCCTATTATCTATAGTATGTCATTATCATTCTTTGAAAACTGAAGAGAATTATGTTGTTATAGCTAAACATGAATCATAGTCACATTTTGTTATACATCCCTTTCTAGAGTACATTATCTATTTGGTGTTGATACATTAGTGATTAATATCAACCATATAAAAAAAGAAAAAAAAATTAAGCATGTATTCTCATTTATAAAGCTCTAATACAAATTATGTCACAACTTCGGTATCAATTATTCACAACTCCAGATACTTGCACAAAAAAATTGTGAACACATTTTTTATTCAAAATTGATCCAATTGGTCCAAACCAAATCTTAATTTAATATCCAACCTGCTAATACCTATCACAATAATTCTCGATTATTAAATTCAATCCAAAACTTCAAAGACCAATAGACGTGAGTATATTGTGTTTTTAAAATTCCTTCAAACAAACCATTCCAAACCAACTACAAATATGCAATGAATATTTAATTTTTTACAACTCAAATGAAAAGGAAAAAAAGAAAAGTAAATTCTAGCATATGATGTATATTTATTTAACTTCTAAAATACGGTACTGATATAATTGATTGCAATATGTGTGACAACAAATAATATCTCTTGGCATTCTCTTGAGGTTGGGCCCGTGCGAGCACTTCCCTACTAGTATACACAAGATGACCGAAAAAATGTAAAAAATTTGTATATTTTTACATTCTGTATGATTTATACAAAAATTATACAAATTTTATATACTTTTTCAACACCAGATGTAAAAGTTTCTGGCGCAAGCTAAAGGTGATAAACTGTTATAATTACTTGGCAGTCAACTTTTGTGATGACCCGGGCAGTCGTCTCATGAGTTATCGCTCCGTTTCCCCCATTTCTGCTTCTTTATGCTTCGTTATCCGTGTCTTATATGATCGGATTGATCAGTTTGAGTTCGGAGAGGATTTGGTAAGAAATGAGACACTTAGTCTCTTTTAAGAAGGTTTAAGTTGGAAAAGTCAACCGGATGTTGACTTATGTGTTAGAGAGCTCGGATGTGAGTTCTGATGGTTCGGTTAGCTTCGTAAGGTGATTTATGACTTCGGAGCGTGATCGGAATTGATTTTGGAGGTTCGGAGTAGAATTAGGCTTGAATTGGCGAAGTTGATATTTTGGCGATTTTCGGTTGATATGTGAGATTTTGATATAGGGGTCGGAATGGAATTCCGAGAGTTGCAGTAGCTTTGTTAGGTTATTTGGGATGTGTGTGCAAAATTTCAGGTTATTCGAACGTGGTTTGGTTGGATTTTTGATCAAAAGCGTATTTCGGAAGATTTTAGAAACTCGGGCTTGAATTCGATGAGTTTTTGGTAGATTTGATGTTGCTTGAGGTGTTTTGATGATTGGAACAAGTTTGAACAAGGTATCGGGTTATGATTGTGCTTTTGGTTGAGGTCCCGGGGGCCTCGGGATCACTTCGGGTGGTTATCGGAGAATTTGGAACTTGGTTGCAGCAGCTAATATTGCCGCTTCTGGTGTTTTCGCACCTGCGGTTTGGGGACCGCAGGTGCGGTGCCGCACGTGCAAGGGAGAAGGTCGCAGATGCGGAAGGGCGATCGCAGGAGTGGATTTGGGCTGGTTAAGTGAGTTCCGCAGAAGTGCATTTGCGGACTTGTGACCGCAAATGCGGTACCGCAGAAGCGGTGGAGGGGTCGCAGATGTGAAAACCCCTGGGCTGAATGTATATATATTCTTTCTTCGCGATTTTTGAAGGGTTTAACTATTTTAACTTCGGATTGAGCGCTTTTGGGCAATTTTGAAGGGAGATTTCAAGAGAACTTCGTTAAGGCAAGGATTTTGGACCTAAAACACACTTCTATGGTAATATTTCATGGATTGGGACTGAAATTTAAGGATTTAAAGGACTAAAAATGGAGGTTTATGGCTTAAGTTCAAGAGGGCTTAAATTGAGGATTTGAGGGGTCATTTGAACTCTGATTCTTGTGTTTTTGATATGTATGAACTCGTGGGGAGACGAGGAATCTAATGATGTAAAAATTTCTGAGTTTCGAGAAGTGGGCCTGGGGCTCGGGTTTTGCTAATTTTGGGATTTTGGTATTTTTCGATTGTTTTCGCTTGGGCTTTGTTCCTTTAGCATATTATGATGTATTCGTTCTGATTTTGGTTAGGTTCGACGCGCGTGGAGGCCGATTCGAGGGGCAAAGGCATCGCGAGCTAGAGAGTTAGCCGGTTCGAGGTGAGTAATGATTGTAAATGATGTCCTGAGGGTTTGAAACCCCGAATTGCATATCGTAGTTGTCATAGCTACTGGCTCCACATCAAAGGTCAAATCATCATCCAACCGAACCGTGTTGTAGTCCAAAATATGGGATGGATCCCCACTATACTTTCGGAGCATAGAAACATGAAATACCGGATGCACACTCGACAGGCTGGGTGGCAAAGCAAGCTCATAAGCCACCTCCCCAATCCTTCGAAGCACCTCAAAAGGCCCAATGAACCGAGGACTCAACTTGCCTTTCTTCCCAAATCTTATAACACCCTTCATGGGCGAAACCTTCAGCAGGACTTTCTTACCGACCATGTAAGACACATCTCGAACCTTCCGGTCTGCATAACTCTTCTGACTTGACTGCGCTGTACGAAGCCTCTCCTGAATCACCTTCACCTTCTCTAAGTCATCCTGAACCAAATCTGTCCCCAATAGTCTAGCCTCGCCGGGCTCGAACCAACCAACCGGAGATCTACATCGCCTCCCGTACAAAGCCTCATATGGAGCCATCTGAATACTCGACTGGTAGCTGTTGTTGTAAGCAAACTCTGCAAGTGGTAGAAACTTATCCCATGAACCTCCAAAGTCAATAACACAAGCACGAAACATGTTCTCCAATATTTGAATAGTACGCTCGGACTGTCCGTCCGTCTGAGGATGAAACGATGTGCTCAACTCTACCTGAGTACCCAACTCTCTCTGCACGGCTCTCCAAAACTGCAAAGTAAACTGAGTACCTCTATATGATATGATGGAAACAGGAACGCCATGCAACCGAACAATCTCCCGAATATAAATCCCTGCCAACCGC